CTGGGAATTTATAACCTCAGTGATGTCAGCACATGAAGTCAAAGTGATGACTTATTTTTATTTCTTCTTGACATTTGAGTATTTGTAGGCTGAGAATCTTTCTTTCTATTCCCACCTCCATGCCTGGGCTTTACTTTTTCCGTGGAACACAGTCTCAGAATGAATTGTTGGCTGAATCTTCAGCTGAAATTATATAGGAAGCTTCTAAGAGGTTTCACAATATGGATTTTTTTTTTTTTTTTGGTCAGAGTCTCACTGTGTCGCCCAGGCTGGAGTGCAGTGGCATGATCTCAGCTCACTGCAACCTCTGTCTCCAGGTGCAAGTGATTCTCCTGCCTCAGCTTCCTGAGTAGCTGGGATAACAGGTGCCTGCCACACAATATGAAAATCTTATGAACTGAGGCGTCTATTTTCAAAATTTGACAAACAAACCAGGTCCTTAGCCTTTTAAGATAAGTCAGACAGTTGGCAGGATGCAGTGGCTCATGCCTGTAATCCCAGCACTTTGGGAGGCCGAGGCAGGCGGATCACCTGAGGTCAAGAGTTCAAGAGCAGCCTGGCCAACTTGGTGAAATCCTGTCTCTATTAAAAAAAATTTTTTTTTTTTTTTTTGGGACGAGTCTCACTCTGTCGCCCAGGCTGGAGTGCAGTGGTGCGATCTCTGCTCACTGCAACTCTGCCTCCTGGGTTCACGCCATTCTCCTGCCTCAGCCACCCAGGCACCCGCCACGACACCCGGCTAATTTTTGTTTTGTATTTTTAGTAGAGACGGAGTTTCACCGTGTTAGCCAGGATGGTCTCGAGCTCCTGACCTCATGATCCGCCTGCCTCGGCCTCCCAAAATGCTGGAATTACAGGCGTGAGCCACCGTGCCCAGCCTACTAAAAATATTTTTAAAAACTAGTCAGGCATGGTGGTGGGTGCCTGTAATCCCAGCTACTGGAGAGGCTGAGGCAGGAGAATCGCTTGAACCCGGGAGGCAGAGGTTGAACCCGGTTGGCAGAGGTTGCAGTGAGCTGAGATCGCACCACTTGCACTCCAGCTTGGGCGACAGAGTAAGACTCCATCCTCCCGCCCCCCCCCCCCCAAAAAAAAGGTAAGTCAGACAGCTGCCTTTTATTAGGGTTTAGATATAGAGGAAAAGCCCGTGTAAAATAATTGGTTTTGCACTATGATTCTTTTTTTCTCTGAGACCACTTTCCAATAATCGAACTCAAGTATTGCATTAAGAACTTAGAAGGTGTACAAACTACTGTGTGAAATACTTCAGAGAGCTAATGATGAACTAAGAAATTATATCTGCCCTCAATGACAGTACACAGAGTAGATCCTTATATGACATATCTAAGAAAAATTATGGTGGTACTAATTTCTTTTACATACAGATTAAACTATTTTGTTTGATTCTATGGTCTCTTCAATGACAGTTTTTAAAAAACATTTTCCTGAACCAGAGCCCTTCCCTTATGCTATCCAGAAGTCTCAGCCTTTATAAAATATTTTTTCCAATTAGCTTTGCCAAAGGCTGGCTATCTTTTACCGTCAATATTTTAGGAATGCATCCTAAACAGTATGCCCTGTTATTGGTAATTTTCCATTAATTGGTTTCTTAAAAGTGAACTCAAAGTGGCCGGGCACGGTGGCTCACACCTGTAATCTCAGCTATTTGGGAGGCCGAGGCGAGTGGATCACAAGGTCAACAGATCGAGACCATTCTGGCCAACCCCATCTCTACTAAAAATACAAAAATTAGCTGGGTGTAGTGGCGCGCCTGTAGTTCCAGCTACTCGGGAGGCTGAGGCAGGAGAATCACTTGAACCCGGGAGGCAGAAGTTGCAGTGAGCTGAGATAGTGCCACTGCACTCCAGCTTGGTGACAGATCGAGACTCTGTCTCCAAAAAAAAAAAAAAAAAAAGTGAAAACTCAAAGTGTAGCATTAGAGAGTAACTGTGTCTCTTTCTTGAGATTTAGCCTCATCAATTTGATCAACATCCCTTCGAAACTATGTGTTTGCTTTTCTAAACCTGACATCTTATATGAGGATAAAGAAGATTTTGCACCAGAACTATTCAATTCTTGATCACAGCTATACTCTGTTACATGTCATAAAGAAAACTGATACACTTCGCTCATTTGTCATTAGCCTTATAATTTATTGAAAAGTGATGTATGAGATTAAATACACTATAAAAGTGTTGTATAGTTTCCTTAACATTCCTATGCTATTGCTGCTTCAAAAAGCATAATACTTCTGGAAAGAAAGCAGTGGAAGAATGTCTTCTGACTGATTACGTTCCAATTTTAGGTTCTATAAAACAGTGAAGCTAAAAATTTTAAATTATAGCTGAACGCTTTAACTTATTAGATGAAATGGATACATATCCACCTGTCATACACATAAGAAGACAAGAAAAGTCCTTGACATAATTTTATGACTGGAATCAGAAGAAATGTAAACATATCCAAACCCATTGCCCAGTTAGTCTCAGAAAACAATCAACACATATCTTAATTACCAATCCTAAATTATCAACAAGTGTCCTAAAAATCCTAAAGGTAAGCCATTAGTTTCAGTTCTTATATGGCCTAAACCAAATAATGATCACCAGCCTTCAGGTTTCGGTGATCCATTTTCTGGCGAAATTATCTAAGATCCCACTGAAGTAAACTGCTTCTTTAAAATAAGTTTCCTAGGATCCTTGTTTAGATTTCACTATGGTTCAGACAAAGAAAAAGTAACACTCACAAAATTGTCTCATACAAAAATATTTTCCCCATCTTTTATGGCCTAAAACTGTGGCTTCTCAATCAAGAATGTACCTAGGCACTTAAGATTTTTAAACCAGCTTTCAAAAAATTTTAGAATAGTTTTATTTCCATCCACAAATCATTCCATTGTACCACATGGAGAAGCACAAAAATCATTATTACTTTTCCCAACAGGACATCGAGTGTGCTGGCATTGAAAATATAAATCCTTTTTTTTTTTTTGTCAACCACTAAAAATGGCTACTGTTAACTAATTGCATGCTGTGAATCAGATGATTTTTGTTAGCTCTAGCCATCACCAGGACCTTTCAAATTAGAAATGATTATTTCTACTTTGCTGAAGCTCAAAGAGATTAAATAACTTTCTAAAGGTGACACAGTTAAGAAGTTAGCTAATTGCAAAGCTGCTGTCCTTCTACGACTTATCTGAAAATTCAAAATCCTGGTATCAGGTAATCCCCAGAGTACATTATTTGTTTATCCATTCATTCAACAAATATTTAATAAAGTCTATTCAGCTCAAATTGGAAACATAGTTGATTGAAATCACTGATATTTGAGATATCGTCTAAAGGTCTTGACTATTATGCTCTAACTCTCAATGATTTGTTCCTAAATCAAGTTAGGTGAACAGAGGTCAGAATAATTAGACCATGTTAGCTTAGCTTTCCAAATCATTTGTTTTCCTATTATGTCTTTCTTTCTATTTGACTACATATGAGAACTGTCCATGTGATAAACATTTTGGTAGTTCCTACAAGACGATGGAGAAGGGAGGGATCATTGTCCTCTATTTCTTTCAATATTACCTATAGAACACTGTACTTATTAAATTTTATTTGAAAACTAATGTAAACACAAATTTAGAATGTTTAGATAAATTCAAATACTTTCTTTCAAAAAATCACACAAGTAGAACCACACACTCTATATTTTGTCCCCTTTTTTGGTCTCAGAAGCAGCAACTGCCTCATTTTAGAGCCTTTGGATGTCTTTCATTCTCTAAGTGGTATCCAATCTCTTTTCTGAGTTTTAATTATTGTATGTTTTGTATGTTTCACAGTAGACAGGCAGCAAACAAAGAAGAAAGAAAAAATAATTGGGATGTTATGTTTCCCTACACCTTTACAGAATTCACCAAAAGAAATCAGGCAATGCTTTTCAAAGAGTAATACACTTTAGCATTCAGTATCTGTAAACACTCTACAATAAGCATAAAGTTCTCAGAAAACACTTAGAATCTGTGCACGTTTCAGAAATTTTCCCTTAGTTGTAATAGTTATGGGGAATTTAATGTAGAAAGCAGGGGAAATTACTGCAAATTTGCCCCAGTACTAAAAAAGTACTCAAAACACATTTTGTTAATTCTGAATATTCCACAAAGTCATCATTAATATCATTAATGTAGGAAATGGGCAAAAGAAATGTCTAACTTGGAAACACACACAGATATTGTATTAATGAAATGCATAACAGAAGTGAAAAATAGTCTTTACTGTTTTTTGTCATGGCAATACAGGATATTGTATATTTAAGTGATAAAATTTTAAATGCAGAAGAAATAAATTCACTATATTTGGAAGTTCATAAATGATTTAAAACCATGAAATGACTTGGGATACTGAGAAAGTATAAATGGACATATCCCTAATGGCCAGAAAGAATTACTGCACTTTGAAAGAAACTAAATTCACTTTATGAATTTGCTAGCAATCTCAAGTGTAGTTAAAAGCCACTCTATTTATAAAAGTTTACTAAAATTTTATTTATATTTTCCATTGAATTAGATTTCTCCCCTCTAGATAAACAGATCAGTTGTTATCAGATGCTCTACACAAAACTGCTGCATGGTCAATGGGAAAAAAATTAAAAGTGGGAAAAGAGCATTACCACTGATAAATTAAGCTAGAAAATGATATAGAGTATTTATGTTATAAATTGTTAATAAATTATATCTATCATGTAAAATATATGTACATAAATAAGGTATGAGGGAAGGTGGCTGGATTGTTGTTGGTGTCTGTCACATATGTATAAATTTATTGATGTCTGCTTTATAAATTCCAGATGTGCTAAGGGATATATTTCTCCAGGCTCAGAAAAGAATATTTGATAAGGGCGGGGCACTGTGGTTCACGCCCCTAATCCCAGCACTTATGGAGGATGAAGCAGGAGGCTCACCTGAGCTCAAGTTCCAGATCAGCCTAGCCAACATAGTGAGACTCCTGTCTCTACAAGACAGTAATAGATAGATAGATCGATAGATAGATAGATAGATAGATAGATAGATAGATAGATAGACAGACAGATAGATAGACAGATAGATAGCAGGGCTGTGGCTTGCAACTGTAGTCCCTGTTACACCGGAGGAGAAGGCGGGAGAATTGCTTGAGCCTAGGAGTTTGAGTCTGCAGTGAGCTATGATCGTGCCGCTGCATTCCAGCGTGGGCGACAGAACAAGAAAGGAAAGTAAAGAGAGAAAAGAGAGAAAAGAGAGGAAAGAAAGAGAGAAAGAAAGAGAGAAAGAAAGAAAGAAAGAAAGAAAATATTTGATATAAACTCACCTGAATTAACGCACGACTGTCCTTAGAAAATACCAAATCACCTGACAGAAAAAGGGACTCGCTTTTTCCACCGCTCTCCTGGCTGACGAGCGTGTCTGCATAGTTGGGCTGGGGCAAGATCGGGTGACTCTTGCGCGAGTCCGCGGTGAGGGAGACCTCGTGGGAATAGGTCTGCAGGAAAGCCTGCACCCCGTCCACGCCTACGAAGTGCGACGCCGGGGCTCCTGTTAAGCCGCCTTCTGAAGCCTGCAGCAGGCGTGACTTGTGCCAGCGCCGCAGCCTGAGCGCCAGCAACACGATGACGAAGGCCAGGAAGACGCAGGAGACCGCGGCCACCGCCACCACCAGGTACAGCGTAAGGTCTGAGGTTTCAGAATTAACTGGAGACTCGAGGCTGCCGAGGTCCGCCAGGACTTTGGGGATGCTGTCGGCCACGGCCACCGTGAGCGTGACGGTGGCCGAGAGAGGGGGCTGGCCGTGGTCCTGGACGGCCACCACGAGGCTCTGCTTGAGTGCATCTCTGTCCAGTAGGGCTCGCGCTGTGCGCACCTCGCCCGTGTGCAGACCCACCGCGAAGAGCCCCGGTTCGCTGGCTTTGAGCAGGCGGTAGGACAGCCAGGCGTTCTGGCCCGAGTCTCTGTCCACCGCCACCACCTTGGTCACCAGGTAGCCGGGCTCTGCGGAGCGGGGCGCCAGCTCCACGCCAGTGGAACCGTCTGTGGGGAGGGCGGGGTACAGGATCTCGGGCACATTGTCGTTCTGGTCCAGCACAAACAGACTCAACGACACGTTGCTGCTGAGGGGCGGGTGCCCGTTGTCCCGCGCCATCACTTTCACTTGCAAGTCTCGCAACTGCTCGTAGTCGAAGGAGTTCAGCGCATACAGTACCCCAGAGTCGGAGTTGATGGACACGTAGGACGATAGGGGTGCCCCTTGGACGGTGTCCTCAGCCAGGGAATAAGTGATCTGGGCGTTCTCCTCACAGTCGGGGTCGTGGGCGGTCACGGAGACGAGGGAAGCTCCTCTGGGATTGCTCTCTGGGATATAAGCGGAATAGGAGGCCTGAAGGAAGACCGGCGGGTTGTCGTTGGTGTCTGCCACGTTCAGCAAGATGTGAATTTCCGTAGATAGGGGCGGGGTTCCCCGGTCAGTGGCGGTCACTGTGATGTTGTAGCTAGGAACCTGTTCCCTATCCAAGACTATGTCTGTGACTAAACTATAGTAATTTCCGTAAGATTTTTCTAATTTAAAGGGCAGATTTCCTTGGATGAAACAGATCACCTGTCCGTTTACCTCAGAATCTTGGTCATTTACATTTAAAAGGGCAATTAATGTCCCTCTGGGAGAGTTTTCGGGAACCGAGCTGGCGAGAGAGGTGAGGTCCACCTCTGGGGCGTTGTCATTCACGTCCAGAACAGTGATCAGGACTTTGGCTCGCGCAGAATATCCTGCATTATCCATTGCTTGCACTTCCATCTGGTAGAATCCTGACTCCTCGTGATCCAACTCCCCTATTGTTGATATGGTCCCTGAATTACAATCTAGTTTGAAAACTTGGGCCGCCTTGTCGTCCACATACCGGAAGGAATACCTCACTTCCGCATTGACTCCTTCGTCAGGGTCGGTAGCGTTGACTACAAGCAGCTGCGTGCCCACGGCCAGATTCTCCGGAACGCTCGCGCGGTACTCGGGCTGGGCAAACGCTGGCGCGTTGTCATTCGCATCCAGAACCATCACGCGGATGCGCGCGGTGCCTGTGCGCACCGGATCGCCCCCATCCGAGGCCGTAAGGACCAGGTGGTGAGCAGCCTTTTCTTCACGGTCCAGGGCGCGTTCCAGCACCAATTCGGGGTACTTACTACCGTCGGCTCCATTTTGCACGATCAGGGAGAAGTGAGTATTCGGGCTGAGCTCGTAGCTCTGGAGAGAGTTCTTCCCAATATCCGGATCCCAGGCGTGGGGTAGAGGGAACCGCGTATCAGTGGCTGCGTTTTCACTGATTTTTATTTCTAATTCACTTTCACGAAAATAAGGCGCATTGTCGTTAATGTCCCTTACTTCTACTTCTACTCCATATATTTTCACTTTATCCTCAATCAGAATGTCTAGATTTAATTGACACTTGATGGCCCCCATACAGAGCTCCTCCCGGTCTATCCTGCCCGCCGTGACCAAGCTGCCGCTGCGCGGGTTCAGGGCGAAAAGCTGCGTTCTACCTCTGGGGACGATGCGGACTCCGCGCTCCGCCAGCTCCCGGGGCTCCAGCCCCAGGTGCTTGGAGATGTCGCCCACCCTAGAGCCTTTCTCCAGCTCTTCCGGAACTGAATAGCGTATCTGGGTGCATCTGGTCTCCCACAGAATCCCCAGGAGGATTCCCAGCAGGACCAGATCTTTGCAGTCCCGGTGCGGTCGCTCAGGAATCATTCTCATCTTCCTCCAGAATTATTTTCAATTGTGCCCTTAATCACTGAAGTCAGGAGCAGTTCTTTCGCCCCTAGAATGGGACAGTTTGGAAGTCAGAGCTCCTCCGTTGTTTCCTCATAGTCCCAGAGATGGTTCATTCCTAGCTATCTGCTTTGTGCTTCAGGCGCGTGCAAGGCGAGCAGGATCTCCGCTTTTCTCTCCCCGATTGGTGAACAGCGGCGCTCAGAGTCCTAACCAATTACTGCACAATCTTGAACTTCCAGAAAGGGTATTTCGTTTTTATATCTTAAATAGCTCCACCTACTGTTCTTCAAAAGGGGATGGAAATCTACAGTATTCGCTTTAGAAGAAACTTCAGTGAGCTTTTTTTTTTTTTTTTCCACCCAATGAGCTTTTTTTTTTTCCCCCAATGAGCTTTTAAATGAATTGGAAGTTTCTGTAAACAATGATTTTAATCTTATAATTTTAGTGCATCTGCTTTGAGATTACTGTTCCCCCAATACACCTATCATGGGGGATGTCTCTCGAGGAGTTTCTCTTTTTTGACATATCATATAATAGAATAATTTAAACTTTCTGATTCAGCTATAATTTGAGGAAAACGTTTTTAAATAGATTCCTTGAACAAACCTGAATGGAAGGATTACTTTACCAGGTTGTTGAAATTTAACGCTTAAAAATCAAATTTTCATGAAAATATGGAAACCTAAAAATGAGATATGTGATTGTATACATTATCAGAATCACACTTAACAAGAACCCAAGTGAAAAAGAAACATTTATATTTTTAGCATAAAGTGGAAGTATTCCAACTTGCATTGACTGGAAATAGCGGAAGTACTCCAGGATTCTATTAATACATTATATTTCAAAAATATTAAGTGTTGAGGAAACTTAGTAAAAGAAAATTGGTAGTCCAAAGAATGTTACACTTACCTTTTCCTGAGTAACTGACCTAATTGTAATTACTGAGAATTACTGGTAATACTTTTGGAAGCCCATCAAAATATAGGGAAAAAATTCTGCCTAAGAAATAACTGGCTACTGTACTTTCATGAGCACAAATATTTATACTGTAAGGATAAGATGTTTGCTAGGCATAAAATAAAATAATATATTTTAAATTGGGAAGAAATATATAGGTAGCTGTGAGAAAAGATCAAACGCAAAATTGAGTTTTCTTGAATTACAAGAATCACAAGTAAACGTAACTGAATATTATCAAATCATTACCATGTTCTTATTTTTTTAAGCTTTTTTCTCTGCCAGGCACAGTGTCAGGCAACTGTAGTCTCAGCTACTCTGGAGATTGAGGTGGGAGGATTGCCACCGCCCAAGAGTTTGAGTCCAGCCTGGGCAACATAGTGAGATTTTAATCTCAATTTTTTTTTTTTATAAAAAGCATTTTCTCATGCATTTTCCTCAAAATTTATAGTTAATGGATTAAAGAAAAAGCCTTATATACTCAAGATATTGATGTCCCAAGAAACACCACAGGAAAAAAAATCATTCTTCAATTAAAATATCTCAATGACAGCAGTATCATAATACCCACTTCTCACGTGTGTGTGTGTGTGTGTGTGTGTGTGCGTGTGTATACAGAATGTCTCTGGGTGGGGCGCAGTGGCTCACACCTGTAATCCCAGCAGCACTTTGGGAGGCCAAGGCGGGCGGATCACGAGGTCAGGAGATAGAGACCATCCTGGCTAACACGGTGAAACCACGTCTCTACTAAAAATACAAAAAATTAGTGGGGTGTGGTGGCGGGCGCCTGTAGTCCCAGCTACTCAGGAGGCTGAGGCAGGAGAATGGCCAAAACCTGGGAGACGGAGCTTGCAGTGAGCCACTACACTCCAGCCTGGACCACAGAGAGAGACTGCGTCCGAAAAAAAAAAAAAGTATCAGGTAAAAATGGTCAAAATACATGAAAGCTAATAATGAAGTTACTCGCCCACACAGAAAGGAGTAGGAAATATTAAGAGTGAGCAAACAAACCTGAAGCAATAGTAGATATAATATGTTTAAGATTTTCTTGCCAAAATATTGGTTTGAAAATTAAGCCACACCCATTTGTAAAAGAAAGACATTCATTGGAACTCAGGTGAGTAGGAGCAACAGAGTTAGAGCTTATCTTGTTATTCTCTTCAGTGAAGCTTGCTACCAGAGAAACTTCATTAGAAAGATCTTGTGGGGGGACTGTTTCTGGTGTCACGGTGAGAAAATTATTATTATTATTATTATTGTTTTTTGAGACGGAGTCTCGCTTTGTCGCCCAGGCTGGAGTGCAGTGGTGTGATCTGGGTTCACTGCAAGCTCCGCCTCCCGGAACTACAGGCGCCTGCCACCTCCCCCGGCTAGTTTTTTGTATTTTTTTAAGTAGAGACGGGGTTTCACCGTGTTAGCCAGGATGGTCTCGATCTCCTGACCTCGTGATCCGCCCGTGTCGGCCTCCCAAAGTGCTGGGAATACAGACTTGAGCCACCGTGCCCGGCACGGTGAGAAAATTAAATCTTCTTTTTCTAGAATCCGAGGGAACATACGTATTGCAGGAATAAAGCAAAGTTCCCTCATTGTAGTTGGGAGAAACCCCGGTCGAGTCTCAGAACACAGGCCAGGGTGAAACCAACCCCAGGCAGAGGGGCTGGACAAGGCGACCGCCAAAATCACTGCGAGGAAGAAGAGCATAGAAATCAAGGCCAAGGCCACGACCAAGTAAATTTGCAGCTTTGCCTGGGAATTAGAGGCCACAGGACGGTCAATGAAGTCTGGCAGTGCCTCCTGCAGGCTGTCTGCGAAGACTAGGTGAAGTGTAGCGGTGGCAGAGAGGGGCAGCTGTCCTCCGTCATGCACAGCAACCAGCAGGCGCTGTCGGGCCGAGTCACTGTAGCCTAAGACACGAGCAGTGCGCACCTCGCCCGTGGGCAGCCCCAGGCTGAAGAGCCCGGGCTGGATGGCCTGAAGCACGTGGTAGGACAGCCAATCTTCGTGTCCCGAATCTGCGTCCAACGCCACCACCTTAGTCACCAGGTAGCCAGACTCTGCGGCGCGTGGCACCATATCGAAGAGTGCGGAGCCATCGGACCCCAGCGCGGGGTACAGCACCTGCTGCACATTGTCACTGAGGTCGCCCACCAACACGCGTAGGCTTACGTTGGCACTGAGCGCAGGCGAGCCCTGGTGGGCCTGCAGCTTGAACTCCAAGGTGCGCAGCTGCTCGAAGGCGCGCAGTTGCTCGTGTTCGAAGGCGCGCTGTGCGAACACCACCCCGCTCTGTGCACTCACGGACACGTACGACGACGGTGCCCGCAGCTCCAAGTCACTGGTAACAATGGAGCAGGAGACTTGGCCATTCAGCCCTAGGTCCAGGTCAGAGGCGCTGACTTGTGTGATGGAGGCTCCGAGAGGGTTGTTTTCGGCCACGTGGACCCCGTAGGAGACCTGGTGGAAAACCGGAGCACTGTCGTTGACGTCACCAATGCATAGGGTGACGCTTGTGCTGGATGAGAGCGGAGGCTTGCCCCTGTCAGTGGAAGTGATGGTGACCTTGTACTCCGGGGTCCCAATCCAGGGTCCCATCTGTTACAAGCTTATAGTCATTATTGGCGGAAGATTCGATTCTAAAAGGAATTCTTTCGTTTATGAGGCATGTAACCTCCCCATTTTCTCCCGAATCTTTATCATGTGTTTTGAACAGAATGATCGCCGTCCAGGGTTCTGCAACCTCAGTTACAGAACTGGACACCGAAGTAAAAACCACGTCTGGGGCGTTGTGGTTCTCATCTAGGATTTCTAGCATAATTTTACATTCGCTGGTCATGCCTCCACCATCCTTCGCCTCTATGCTCATGGTGTAACTGCTATAAATTTCGAAGTCTATTAAGTCTTTGGATTTAATTTCCCTATTTTGATGGTCTAGCACAAACATATTTCCAATATCATCTGGTAGGGATTTGAAAGAGTAGGTGATCTCTGCATTGACATCCTCATCCTGGTCAGTGGCTGTCACCTTCAGTACACGGGTGCCTGGGGGCACATTCTCTCTAAGGCTGACTTTGTATACATCCTGGCTAAAAACTGGGGCATTATCGTTGCCATCAGTGACCTCAATCTGAATTGCAGCAGTGCCAGTTAGGACTGGGTCACCCCCATCTACTGCTTTCAGGACCAGGAGATGAGAGCTCTATCCTTCCTGGTCCAGGGGCTTCTCCAGCACTAATTCTGGAGCATTCTTGCCTTCAGTCTTGTCCATCATCAGAGAGAAATGTTCATTAGAGCTGAGCTGGTAACTCTGGAGACAGTGAGCCCTACATCTGCATCTATAGCAGATTCCAGGCCAAACTGAGTGCCTGGAATTGCTAGCTCATTGATTTGTGAAACAATGCTATTTTGGGGAAAATAAGGTGGATTATCATTTACATCTTCTATCATCACATTTATGTGAAAAACATTTAGAGGATTCTCTGGTACAATCTCTGAGGGTATGACACAGGATTTTGAGGACAGAGTGACTCTCGATCTATTCTGTCACTCACAAGAATGTTCCCATTCTCCGTGTTGACGGTAAAGTACTGTTCCTCTGTACTAACTCTAAGGTTTCGGGTCAATAAATCCTGAACATGCAGCCCCATGTCCTCAGCAACGTTCCCCACCACCGAGCCCCGAACCGTTTCTTCTGGATTAGAGTAGTGGATCTGCTCCGAGCGCATCCCGCAGAACAAAGGCAGCAGGAAAGGGAAGAGTATTTGCCGCCGCCGGGTCCTGCTTCTCTGCTTCACCCTGTTTCCCATCCTTCCCGTGTGTTGCTGCAGTCTCCGACGTTAAGAGAAAATGTTTCACAAAGTGCTTTTAAAATATTTACTTCCACACATAGAAAACCCAATGCTCCCAGTTTGAAGGCACCCCAATCCGTAAGGAATCAGATTTGAGGGAGCAGAAAGCCCAAGTCTTGGCCACTTTCCTTTCCGACTTTCTTCTGTGACTGAGCACAATATAGTCCTGGTAGATCCGAGGCTCCAGCTCTTGCAGCACATTGGCCAACAGGGGGGCTCTGAGTCTATTTAGAAAACTGCACTGGGAAGACTTTGCTAATTCAATACGATTCAGAATTTAGACTGATGTGTTGGACTAATGTATAGGAAACTAGACACTTTAAGAGTTTTGGTAGTGACTATTTTCCAGTGTTTACTACCAAAGAAGATTCCTTAGAGACGGGATCCTATAGAACAGTCATTAACCCAGTAAAGAGAAGTGAAACGTTTTTTTCTTTTTTCTTTTTTTCTTTTCTTTTCTTTTCTTCTTCCTTTTTTTTTTTTTTTTTTTTTGAGATGGAGTCTCACTCTTTTGCCCAGGCTGGAGTGCAGTGACACGATCTCTGCTCACTGTAAGCTCTGCCTCCCAGGTTCAGGCCATTCTCCTGCCTCAGTTTCCCCAGTAGCTGGGACTATAGGCGCCCACCACCACGCCCGGTTAATTTTTTGTATTTTTACTAGAGACAGGGTTTCACCATGTTAGGCAGGACGCTCTCTATCTCCTGACCTCGTGATCCGCCCGCCTCAGCCTCCCAAAGTGATGGGATTACAGGCGTGAACCACCGCGCCGGCCCAAGTTTCTTTTTTTCTAAGCAGAAGCAATGCACATATTGGAAGAACTAGGCAAAGTCTTCTCTCCTAATGTACAACAAAAACAATGTGGGAAAACATCCCCACCAAGTGGTATGGGAAAATTTTGACCACTATGAAATGATATGCTGTATTATTTTCAATCTGATGTGCAGATAATTTTCCTCTTAGTTTTATCAGAGAAAACTGGAGGAGCACTGAAAGCTATATAGGGCATATTCAGAATAAAGATAGCCAAACCTTTCTTATCACTTATAAAAGAGGTTTCTGAAAAGGATTATTAAGTGTTTTACACTTTAATCATAAAGAGAATATAAAGGTATAGCCTGGTAGGTAGCCTTAGGAATTTAATAACATGAAATGTGAGGGTGTTTTATTTTTATCCTCTATTTAATGGGACTATATGTTATACCTTAACAGAACTTTATCACTACCTCCAAATCAACATAACCATCTTAATATCACATTTCAAAGCCAACCCTTACTTTTTGTTCTCCAAGGTCTTGGGTGCAAGCTTCCAGTTAGTTTAGATGAGGTTTTATAATATGGAACAATCTCCTTTTCCCAGCCAAATACCTCATATCCTTTTTATTTAGTTCCAGTCAAAGTACAATGCCTTACATCCATTTTCTCAGTTTGGAATTCCACAAGTATAAATCCTATCTCTAGATGCTCAAAATACCCCAACATTTTTCTTGACTTCAAGACGAATGTAGGCATCTGTTGGAAGACTTGCCTTTCCTACAGTTGAAATTATTTTTTGTGCAAGCCCTAGATAGTCAGTTTACAACTAATGACATAAGGTAAATTTCTAAATGAGAAAAATAAACTTGAAAGGGAACATAAATAAGCAAGTAATTTGGGGCAAATACCTAGAAGTGATGCGAGAGTGTTAAGTGAATTGATGATGGAAATTATTCCTGTGATCAAAAACCCTAGATAAGTCTCCATTCCTCATTTGACTTTCCTAGACATTGCTTCAGATAACATGTATGTCAGGCAATTATCAAGCTTCAGTAACAAGTTGGTCTGAATAAAAGAACTGAATGTACTATTTGCCATAAGAAAGACCTTATAAAGGAAAGAAAGAAGGAATCTATGACTCCCAAGTACACTGAAAATGAACAAAAAATAGCCAGAAGGATACTAGCTAAATCAGTTTCATTAAAGTCCAAATACCTTCAATCTATTTATATATTCACAAACTATTCTATTTGAATAAATCTATAGACATCTTTAGCATATTTGAAAATAGCTTTTTGAGAAGCACTGAATCAAAATCAAGTCATTTCTATATATGGATTTGCTACATTAAAAAGCCTTCCATACATACAAACGCAGACACCAAAGTAAAAGAATAAAAGGAAATAATACCAGTTCAGTAATTCAATTATTTCCTCAGACCACTCAATGCAACTTCACCATAGTAATGGAAAAGATATCTAGAGCTTAAGAAAAAATGTCATCTAAATTTTATCTCCCAAGGAAATCCAGTAGTTAAAAGCCAGTAAATATGTCTGTGTTGATAGGATGAAGAAATGAGACAAAGTTGAAATAGTCAACAGGATCTAAACATATTACCAGCCAACAAGAATCAAAATAAAATTGCTCAGAGAAAAGCTTACATGTGTAAGTGTGTGTGCATGTGTATAGATAGATAAATGAGAAAGAGAGCTAGAGCGAGCATGCTGTTAAATTGACAGGATCTAAATTTGAACATTAGCAGTAATAGCAAATAATGGTGGAATATAACTACAAATCAGTGAAGGCACTGCAAAATTGAAATGGAAATAAAAAGTGTTTGTGAATCATTAATTTGTATCTATATATAGTAAATTGATAGCCTCATACACTGATAATAGAAAAATAATACTAAAATTCAACTTACTACAAACTAAGCCAGCATAGTTGAATGGCCCCTTTGAAATCAAAAGAAAATATGCCAGGATTGAAAAATGACTTTCACAAAAACGTTCTGAAAGATTATGGTAATCTCATGAAAGGCAAAGTAAAACTCACATGTATTGCTCTAAATATAAATGAACTAAATATATGCCGCCCCCCCAAACAGTTTTCATAATAGGCTCAATAAACATCTCCTTAAAAGACTTGTGCCAAGACACCAACAATTAGGAGGCAGAGAAATAAATCTCACCTGATTACTTGTCGGGTCACATTTGCCTAAAATGATAGCTGAGTCTTCAGCTATCAAGAGTGGTTCGCTTTTCTCACAGCTCTCCTGGCTGATGAGCGTGTCCCCATAGTTGGGCTGGGGGAAAATCAGGTGACTCTTCTGCGAGTCCGCAATGAGAGAGACCTCGTGAGAATAGGTCTGCAGGAAAGCCTGCACCCCGTCCACGCCTACGAAGTGTGAGGTGGGCATACCTGCCAGCCCGCCTTCAGAAGCCTGTAGCAGGCGTGACTTATGCCAGCGCCACAGCCTGAGTGCCAGCAGCACGACGACAAAGACCAGGAAGATGCAGGAGACTGCGGCCACCGCCACCACCAAGTACAGCGTGAGGTCTGAGGTTTCAGAGTTAGCCAGAGACTCGAGGCTGACGAGGTCCGCCAGGACTTCGGGGATGCTGTCGGCCACAGCCACGGTGAGCGTGACGGTGGCCGAGAGAGGGGGCTGGCCGTGGTCCTGGACGGCCACCACGAGGCTCTGCTTGAGCGCGTCTCTGTCCAGCAGGGCCCGCACCGTGCGCACCTCGCCCGTGTGCTCCCCTACCGCGAAGAGTCCCGGCTCGCTGGCCTTGAGCAGGCGGTAGGACAGCCAGGCGTTCTGGCCTGAATCTTTGTCCACCGCAACCACTTTGGTCACCAGGTAGCCAGGTTCTGCAGAGCGGGGCGCCAGCTCCACGCCAGTGGAACCGTCTGTGGGGAGGGCGGGGTACAGGATCTCAGGCGCATTGTCGTTCTGATCCAGCACGAACAGGCTCAGCGACACATTGCTGCTGAGGGGCGGGTCCCCGCTGTCACGTGCTATCACTCTCAGTTGTAAGTCTCGAAACTGCTCATAGTCGAAAGATTGTAGGGCATAGAGAACACCAGTGTTGGAGTTAATAGAGACATAAGAGGATAGAGGCACCCCCTGGACAGTGTCATCCGTCAGAGAGTAAGTGACCAGGGCATTCTGTTTGCTGTCCGGGTCGAGGGCAGTCACTGAGAAGATGGAGGCACCCCTGGGGTTGTTTTCGGGAATATAGGCAAAGTAAGAGGAGTGAGGAAAAACAGGAGGGTTATCATTGTCATCTGCCACATTCAGCCAGATATGAGTTTCTGAAGACAGAGGCGGGCTTCCCTGGTCTGTGGCTGTCAACGTTATATTGTAGCTCTGGACCAACTCCCTGTCCAGAACTCTGCTTGTTATCAATTTGTAATAATTTCCATAAGTCTTTTCTAATTTAAAAGGCAAGTGGTTAGGAATAAAACAGGAGACTTGACCATTTTCTCCAGAATCTTGATCTTGCACATTTAGAAGAGCAATGACTGTACCTGGAGGAGAGTTTTCCAGAATTGAATTAATAGAAGAGGTGATAGTTATTTCTGGAGCGTTATCATTCACATCCACAACAGTGATCAACATCATCGCGGTGGTAAAGAGACCTCCGCCATCTTGGCCTTGAATTTCCATCTCATAGAATCCATATTTTTCAAAATCCAGAGACCCCCGTACTAGAACTTCTCCAGTTTGTGAATCCAATTGGAATATTTCAGAAGCCTTGCTTTCCATGTTCCGAAATGAATACATTACTTCCCCGTTGATTCCCTCGTCTGGATCCGTTGCATTAACCACCAGCACCCGAGTTCCAGAGCTGATGTTTTCTGGAACGCTCACGCGATATACGGACTGTGTAAACACTGGGATGTGGTCATTTACATCGAGGACCACCACACGAATAGGAACTGAGCCCTTTCGGATAGGATCGCCTCCATCTAAAGCTGTGAGGAGGAGCAGGTGAGCAGCCTCTTTCTCTCGGTCCAGGCTTCCCTCCAGTACCAGCTCTGGATTCTTGGCCCCATCCATTCTGCCCCGTAGTTGCAAGGAAAAGTAACTATTAGGGCTGAGCTGGTAGCTCTGGAGGGAGTTCACGCCCACATCTGGATCCCTAGCATTAGGAAGAGCAAATCGCGCCCCAGGAATTGCGTGCTCACTGACTTTTATCTCCACTTCGTCTTCCTGGAAGCTGGGGGCGTTATCATTAATGTCGATTATTTCCACCTCCACTCCGTAAATCTTCAAGGTGTCTTCCACGAGAAGTTCCATATTTAAAAAACAGGAGGACACCGTCTCACAGAGCTCCTCCCGGTCTATCCTGCCTGCCGTGATCAAACTGCCGCTTCGCAGATTCACAGCGAAAAGCTGTGTCTTCCCTCTGGAGACGATGCGGACTCCGCGCTTCGCCAGCTCCCGGGGCTCCAGCCCCAGGTCCTTGGAGATATTGCCCACGAAGTAGCCTTTTTCGGTTTCTTCGGGCACCGAATATCGGATCTGCCCGGCCCGGAACCCCCGCAGCGTCCCCAGGAAAATGCACAGCAGCATCAGCCCACTGCGGTCCAGGCGTTGTAGCCGATTCGCCATGGCAGGCTCTAAGCCGATATTCCGCGATTTCTCGAGCTGGTTGGTTGTGAATCGGTTTATGTATCTATGAAGTCCTAGGCCGACTGCATCCAAAATACATCAGAAAGCGCAGGAAAATACTTCTAAGTCTCCAGTAAGTATCCATCTCATTCTGCTTTGTGTGGTAGAGGCGGGGGAGGGAGGGACTCAATAGCGCGCAGCTTCCCATTCCCTGATTGGTGAACAGCGGCGCCTAGAGCCCATTCTTATTATTGCAACGACTAAGAAATCCCAGAAGAAATGATTACGCTCACCTCTTCGTGAATCTCACGTATTTGTAGAGCTTAAAAACGATTATACACAATGCTTATATTATGTGATGTTAAAACTTTACCAAGAACACCCACGAAAGGAGTAATTATTAAAAGGACTTGCTTAATTTTAAGAAAGTTTTCAAAATATTACTGGAGCTGAAAACTTGTAGGTTATAATTGGTTCCAATTGATTTTAACCGACTGAAAAGAACGACATTTCTGGAAGTGGAAATAACATGGTCCCGATAAAATCATCAGGTAGGATGCCTAACTATAATTCTTACAAGTGTTCCTTTATTGAGTAAATGAAACACTTGAGAAAAATTGAATAGCATCAGGGTTTCAATTAAAATACCATGCCGTGAAAATATACCTGTATTTTATATTTTTAACCAAAAGGTATTTTATTTCATAAAAAATGTCACCAGAGATTACCCATGTAGATGGCCTTAAAATGTCTTTGAATAGTAGGAAGATTGAGGCATTTAATTTAAACTTTTGTTTTAACAATGATAGCCATAAATTTGACCTATATTTTGGGAACTCTATGAAGAGGTTATCTAGAATCTTAAAATAATATCACTATATTGGAATATATTGGCATATTGTAATATAAAAAGGATTAAACACATTTTTAAATACTTACCTGTTTAAGAATCTTATTTGCTTCCAAGCTAGGAGTTAAAATGCTAGCCAGTAGCATGGAAGAGCTATCTTTGTTGAAGTTATCTTGTGTGGCTGGACAATGATCAACAGATGTGACGAAATTAAATTCAGGATTCATTTGATCCCCAGGCACACAAAAATTATAGGCATAGGGCAACGTTCCCTCACTGTAGCTGGGGGGACCCACAGGTCCGGACTTGGAGCAGAGAACTGACTCAAAGCAGCCCCCTGCAGTAGGGCTGAAAGACTGTCTTAGGCGTAGAGCGATAGCTAGAATCACCGCGAGTAGAAAGAGCACAGAAATCAAGGCCAAGGCCACCACCAGGTAAAACTGCATCTCAGCCTGGGAGTCAGAGGGTGTGGGACGGTCGCTGAAATCCGGCAGTACCTCTTGCAAGCTATCTGCGAACACCAGGTGCAGCATGGCAGTGGCTGAAAGAGGTGGCTGTCCTCCATCTCTTACAGCGACTAGCAGGCGCTGGCGGACCGAGTCCTTGTCACCCAAAGCACGCGCCATGCGCACCTCGCCAGTTCGCAGCCCCAGGCTGAAGAGCCCGGGCTCACTGGCATGCACCACGTGGTAGGACAGCCAGGCATTGTGCCCCGAGTCGGCGTCCACGGCCACCACCTTGGTCACCAGGTAGCCTGGCTGTGCGGCCCGCGGCACTGTGTCGAAGACCGCGGAGCCGTCGGGACCCAGCGCAGGGTACAGCACCCGCGGTGCGTTGTCGTTACGGTCGCCCACCAACACGCGCAGGCTCACATTGGCGCTGAGCGCGGGCGAGCCCTGGTCGCAGGCCTGCAGCGTGAGCTCGAAGGCGCGCAGCTGCTCGTGGTCAAAGGCGCGCTGCGCGAACACCACCCCGTTCTGCGCGCTCACGGACACGTAGGACGACAGCGTTCGTGACTCCAGGTCGCTGGCAACGAGAGAGTAGGAGACACGGCCATTGGGCCCGAAGTCTGGGTCAGAGGCACTGACTTGCGCTATGGAGGCACCTGGCTGGTTGTTTTCTGGCACATGGACCAGGTAGGCGGACTGTCCGAAAACGGGCGCGTTGTCGTTGACGTCAGTGATGTGCAGGGTTATGGTTTTGCTGGAGGAGAGTGGAGGCTTGCCCCTGTCGGTGGCTGCGATGGTGACGTTGTACTCTGGGGTCTGCTCCCGATCCAGGGCCCCATCTGTTACTAGCTTGTAGTAATTATTAGAAGAAGAATGAATCTTAAATGGAACACCTCTACTTAAACTACACCTGACTTCCCCATTTTCCCCTGAGTCTCGGTCCCGTGTTTTGAAGAGGGCAACAACCACTCCTGGAGGGGAATCCTCCATAATCTGATCAGGGAGTGACGTGATGATTATTTCTGGGCTGTTGTCATTTTCGTCTAGAACTTCTATAATTACTTTACAACGTGTTGAGAGAGATCCTCGGTCTTTTGCCTCTATGTTCATCGTATATCTTTCCACTTCTTCAAAATCCAAAGGCTGCTGAGTTAGAATGTTTCCTGTAGCGTAATCCAGAGAGAACACGTGCTGAGCTTTGTCAGCCACACCAAGGAAGGAGTAAGTGATCTCCGAGTTGATGCCCTCGTCCTGGTCAGTGGCCTTCACTCTCAGGATGGAGGTGCCTGGAGGCACGTCTTCCCGTAGGCTGACCCTGTACACGTCCTGGCTGAACACTGGGGGGTTGTCATTGGCATCTATTACCAGGATTCTTATCTGAGCAGTACCGCTTCGGGGAGGGTCCCCACCATCTAAGGCAGTCAGTACCAAGTGGTGAGCGCTCTGCGTTTCTCGGTCCAGAGTCTTCTGCAATACTAATTCTGGATATTTGCCACCATCAGGATTGTCTTTCTCCACCAATGAGAAATACTCGTTAGGACTTAGTTGGTATTTGCTCAGCGAATTCATACTAATATCAGGATCTTCTGCAGACTCAAGAATTGTTCCCATCCCCGGGCTGACAGATTCACTGATTTCTAAGTTTATTTCATCTTTCTGGAATTGAGGGGCGTGGTCATTAATATCCTCAATCACCACAATGATATGAAAAATATTTAAAGGATTTTCCACCACAGCTTCCAATTGCAACTCACATCTTCTTCTCTCTTTGCATATTTGCTCACGGTCTATTCGGTCCTTCACAAGTAAGTCCCCGCTCTCCGCGTCTACGCTGAAGTGCAGCTTCTCCGCGCTAACTCGCAGCTTGCGAGCCGACACATCCAGGACACTGAGCCCTAGATCCTTAGCGAGGTTCCCCACCACCGAGCCCTTGGCCAGCTCCTCCGGAATCGAGTAGCGGATCGGCTCACACAGCGCGGGGTAGAACAAAGGCAGCAGCAAGGGAAATAGTACCTGCCGCGGGCCGGCCCGGCGCCTCTGCGCGCAGCTCCCTCCCATCGTTCGCTTGGGTTCTCGCTGGGTCCCCGCTTTTCCAGCTGGAGAAAGTGCACTCTACCGCGCTAAAAGAGCATTCGGCCCAGGACAGGAGGAGTCCCGGGTCTCGGAGCTGGGAATCTAGTGTGCTGGGCAAAGTCTGCCCAGCCGGGAGCCTCTGCGTGTGTGCTGGTTTTCTTCTTTCTGTTGTTGGCTGCGCAGGGAATCCCTAGGCTGGAGGCTGAGGGATCCCCGGCGTCAGCGCTTGCTCTGCACTGGCCGACAGCGGCGCCCAGAGGCTCCGTGTGGGACTGCAGCTTGACTTTATCTCTTTCAAGGAATTTTTTGAGTTGACAACCAAAATATTTGAATCTTATTCCTCAGTGATTCCTTTACATCAGGAAATATATTTCCACGTGGTCATAACTAGCTTATCTTTTATGTACTAAAATTTACATATATCTTGAATAAATGAATATTTTTTCTTCAAAATTTAAAGAGGCACAAAAGAATATAGCATGAAGGTTTATAGGTCTCCTATCCTATGGCCCATTGCTCTCCACTTCCTCCATCCAGAGGCAGTCATTCTTGTTCCTTTTAAGAGTAATTATCTATGAAGCTGGAAGTACTGAAGATAAGCAACATTTTTTTTTGTCTTCAATTCTAACCTATATTCACCTAGAAAGTAATAATTCCTAATTTCATATTTAAGTACTGGAATGTAACCATTGCTCTAGTCATTACCATCATCCAGGGTGTCCTGTATTGCTTTTAAATAACCATATTTAAAAATATTTTCTTACAATAGCTACAATGTCAAAAGAGTAGTTTTTTTTAAAAAATCCATTTTTCATTTGAGATGAATACACAATAATTTTGACTCTTATGAACACAAATATGAAATAATAGTTTCAAAGGTTTAATAGTTAATAACTATGATCCTAAAGAGTGTGCTTTCCTTCCACAGACCTATCACTGAACAAATGTTGACTGGCCTGAAAAAAGTCATGGTCTTCAAAGGGTCTTGAGAAACTTTGGAATGCTTTTTGACCTTATGCTACCACATTTAGTAGAATATTAGTAATGAAATTAAGAGATCAACCTAATACATCACTATTTTCATTGAACTAAATGAACTCATCAGTACCTCCACTGATCCTTTGTTTAGGTAATTTCCCTTACTTATTTGCATGTATTATTTTCTTCTTTATTTTTGGTGCTTATATTCTGATCTGCAGAAATGGCATTTCTTTCTTGACTCTAAGTTTATTTTGCCTCTCAATTTCAGAATTTTCAGAGTTTCAGGTGTTTGCCTCCCTATACATTAAACAGCCACTGAAATAGTTTTGTCACATATCTGTTGCTCCTGTTCTTGGGAACATGTACAAATTTATCTGTCTTCCCAATCCATATTTACTTTCAGCCTTAGTGATTAGAACATTTAACAAAAAAGACAAAAGCAGAACCCCAAATGTTCTAATTTCACCCTCTATAGCCTCTTCAGGATCCCTATTGAGCAACACAAGTTACATTAAAATGCTGTATCTTCCACATAGTAGTGGGAAATTAGAGAATTGTATGCAAAAAAGATGCTTCAGTGTTATCAGGTATAAATAGGGCAGGAAAAATCTAAGTATACATTGTTATAAATAAGTTAATTCAATATTAATGAAAAACAGTATATTCAACTGCAACTATCGCCACAAAGTATAAATTTAAAAACATATAAAAGGTAGTTTGGAAAAGGCCTATTGCTCTTCTCCTTGGGAAGAACTGCGTTGAGTAATCTTGGATTTGGGTTGTGTTTCCAGAGACCATTTCTTTCTGATACTTACCTATTCTTACCAGACTGCCTTCAGAACAAGAGGGATGCTTAAGGGACTGGAGTTTCAATGTGTGACCACCCAGGAGGAAATATAAATCGACAGACACTTCTGTATGGAAGTCTGTCTTAAGAATTGTCAATATTGTACTCAACAACACTATAAACTACAAGGTTCTGCAAAGCTAATCATAACAAAGCCTGATGACATACAGGCCTTGATTGAGACTAGGTGAATTTTACCAGAAAGTTAAAAAAAAACCCCTTAATAAACATCAAATTCTACTCATCAGTGTTTTAGCATTTGCACTTTCCACTATCATGCTGCAAACTTAAAAGTAAAACCAATCTTTTTTAACAACAGAAAAAGAGTAAAAATAAAAGTAAAACTCACTGGAACCAATGGGGTATCCGCTAAAGGAAACTTCGAATCATTTAACAAAGACAAAGGATCCTTTTTCTCACAGCTCTCCCGGCTGATGAGCGTGTCAGCGTAGTTGGGCTGGGGGAAGATCAAGTGACTCTTCCGCGAGTCCGCGGTGAGGGAGACCTCGTGGGAATAGGTCTGCAGGAAAGCCCGCACCCCGTCCACGCCCACAAAGTGCGAGCCGGGCACGCCTGTCAAGCCGCCTCCTGAAGCCTGCAGCAGGCGTGACTTGTGCCAGCGCCGCAGCCTGAGCGCCAGCAGCACGATGACGAAGGCCAGGAAGACACAGGAGACCGCAGCCACCGCTACCACCAGGTACAGAGTGAGGTCTGAGGTTCCAGAGTTAGCCAGAGACTCGAGGCTGCTGAGGTCCGCCAGGACTTCGGGGATGCTGTCGGCCACGGCCACGGTGAGCGTGACGGTGGCCGAGAGAGGGGGCTGGCCGTGGTCCTGGACGGCCACCACGAGGCTTTGCTTGAGCGCGTCTCTGTCCAGCAGGGCCCGCGCCGTGCGCACCTCGCCGGTGTGCAGCCCCACCGCGAAGAGTCCCGGCTCGCTAGCCTTGAGCAGGCGGTAGGACAGCCAGGCGTTCTGGCCCGAGTCTCTGTCCACCGCCACCACCTTGGTCACCAGGTAGCCGGGCTCTGCGGAGCGGGGCGCCAGCTCCACGCCAGTGGAACCGTCTGTGGGGAGGGCGGGGTACAGGATCTCGGGCGCATTGTCGTTCTGGTCCAGCACAAACAGGCTCAACGACACATTGCTGCTGAGTGGAGGATCCCCGCTGTCGCTGGCTGTCACCTGCATCTGTAGTTCATGGAATTGCTCATAGTCAAAGGATCTGAGTGCATACAGGACGCCAGTGTCTGAGTTGATGGATATGTATGAGGACAGAGGTGCCCCCTGGATGGTGTCTTCAGCCAGGGAGTAAATAATCCGGGCATTCTCTTTGCTGTCCGGGTCCAGCGCTGTCACTGAGAAGATGGAGGCACCCCTGGCGTTGTTCTCTGGGATATAGGTAAAGTAGGATACATGAGAGAAGGTAGGTGGGTTGTCATTGATATCTGCCACTTGTAGCATAAAGTGAATTTCCGTTGATAGAGGTGGACTTCCCCCATCTGTGGCTGTTACTGTGATATTGTAAGAGGATACCTGTTCCCTGTCAAGGGCTCTGTGTATCACCAATCTGTAATAACTATCAATGGACTTTTCTAATTTAAATGGTAGATACGCCAAAATGGAACAGGTTACCCGTCCATTCTGCTCAGAGTCTAAATCATGCACGTTTAAAAGGGCTACGACTGTTCCCAGAGGTGAATCTTCAGTCACTGGACTAAATAGAGACGTGATGGCTACCTCTGGACTGTTGTCATTTACATCTTCTACTGTAATCAACACTTTTGCAGTTGCAAGATATGCTCCTCCATCTTCTGCTTGTATTTCTATTTCATAGAAACCAGTTTCTTCATAATCTAGATTTTCTGATATTTTTATTTCTCCAGTATATTTGTTTAGTTGGAACTTCAACAATTGCGTATCAGGTAATTTTCGGAATGAATATGTCACTTCTCCATTGGCACCTTCGTCCCTGTCGGTGGCTGTGACTGTCAGCAGCTGAGTGCCCACAGGCAAATTCTCAGGAACACTCACTCGGTATTCTGGTAAGGTGAAGACCGGCGCGTTGTCATTTGTATCGAAGACAGTCACGCTGACGAGGACAGTGCCAGATCGGAGAGGGTCACCCCCGTCGGAGGCGGTGAGGACCAGGTGGTGAATGGCCTCTTCCTCGCGATCTAGGGCATGCTCCAGTACCAGCTCCGGGTACTTGACGCCATTGGCACGGCTCTGAACTCTTAGGGAGAAGTGCCTATTGGGGCTGAGCTGATAGCTCTGCAGGGAGTTCACGCCCACATCCGGATCAATAGCTTCCGGGAGAGGAAAACGCATTCCCGTGGCGACATTTTCATTAATTTTTACGTCTAGATTTTCTGCTTGGAATTTTGGAGCATTGTCATTTATATCAGTTACTTCTATTTCTATCCCAAAAAGTTTCACCCTTTCTTCCACAAGGATATTAAAACTCACCAGGCACCGCGCGCTCTGAGCGCAGAGCTCCTCCCGGTCTATCCTGCCCGCGGTGACCAAGCTGCCGCTGCGCGGGTCCAGAGAGAAAAGCTGCGTCCTACCTCTGGAGACTATGCGGACTCCGCGCTCCGCCAGCTCTCCGGGCGCCAGTCCCAAGTCTTTGGAGATGTTGCCCACGAAAGAGCCTTTCTCTAATTCCTCAGGAATTGAGTAGGAGATCTGCCGGGCTCCAGCCTCCCATGGAATCCCGAGGAAGAGGCAGAGCAAGACCAGCTCACTGCAATCCTTTGATTCCTTTGAGCGATTCCTTTGAGCGGCCATTGTAGTCTGGTTACAGAATTCTGCAAAGTCCTCACTGGACACGTTGTGTGTTTAAACCGGTTCCTTTGTCTTTCTATGGCTTCAGGGTGTCTCTGTAGCCTGAGCACTTTAAATTCTGGAGTGAGCTTCCCTGCAGCCCAGCAGCCGGTTTGTCGGGCTTTGTGTAGTTGAAGCCCTGAGAATCCGGATTGAGCCCTGGCTGCGTTTTCTCTCCTAGTAGGTGAACAGCGGCGCTCAGAGCCCTAAGAAGTTACTGCACCCAAGTTATACATGGACTGGAAAGTAAACTCCATTCTGTCGGATTATTATATTTTACATAGATTCTTTGGTTTCCCCACTCCTATCTTTAAATAATTTACTATATGTAGGTTTCTTACTGGAGGTGTGACAAAGTGGAGTGAAAATATTGTAAATATTTCACAATAATGTTTGGTTAAATATATATTTGCAACACGTTTTCCCAACAGAAATGTACATACTGTAATAAAAGGTAAATAATACTTATTTTAGGTCATATGAGTGTCTAGGTATATTCAGAAAAGTGTTATAATTTAAAATTGTGATTTAAATAGTCCAATTTTATTTAGCATACATTCATACAAGATTATATTAAATAAACTCTTCATGACATAGTTCACTCTGAAGCTTTATAATTTTAACTACTTAATTCATTAAATTTATTTAGCTTAGGATTATGTAAGAGGTTTTTAAAGTACTCTTCTAGAATAGTTTTACTGAGCCTTAATGAACCTTTTTGTGTAAAACATACTTTATCTTATAGGGATACAAGTTAAGTGGACCTATTTAAATGATTAAGCAGGCAATCACAAACTAAACTGAACACATATTACAGTTGCAAATTAAAATGTTTGCATTGTAATGAGAAAAGAAATATGTAGAATTTGAAGTACTGAAAGTTTTAGAAAACAAAGTTAGATGTAGTGATATAGGTTTTCAACAAGTAAGTGTTTATGTCAAATGACCTGTTTTCATCAGAGCATTAATACCAGTATAAATAATCTCTTCTCTTAGGCAGTTTGTATGAGAGGCCAAAGTCCGGTGGTTCACATATCTTCAACTGTGTGTGCCCACCAACCCAGTAGCAATTATTCCCTCAAATGCAAAGGGTATAGAAGTTTACTTCTTTCACACAGAGAACAGGATGTTCAGAAGTGTTTATGTCACTATGCCTTCCAAGTATAGAACTCTTCAAAGATTTTATCTTTTTTCTTCAAAAATCTTCTATCAGTGAATCAGAGACAGAGACTGAGTGCAACAGCAATAGTATTTCATTTCATTTCTTAGAAATGTCTTTTTTTTTTTTTTTTTTTGAGACAGGGTCCCGCTCTGTCACCCAGGCTGGAGTGCAGTGGCACAATCATAGCTCACTGCAGCCTAAACCTCAAAGGACCAAGCAATTCTCCCACTGCAGCCTCCAGAGTAGCTGAGACCACAGAAATGTGCCACCACACCCTGCTAATTTTTAAATTTTCGGAAGCAATGGGGTCTCCCTATGTTGCCCAGGCTGGTCTCAAATTCCTGGGCTCAAGAGATTCTCCACCTCCACCTCCCAAAGTGCTGGGATTACAGCACACTTGGCCCTGCCTGCATATTTATTTATTTACTTTAGAGACAGGGTCACACTCTGTCACCCAGGCTGGAGTGCAGTGGCAAGATCAGGGCTCACTGCAACCTTGACCTCCTAGGACCAAGCAATCCACCCAGCTCAGCCTCCCAAGTAGCTGGGACCACAGGGGAATGCTACCACACTCTGCTAATGGTTTTGTTTTATTTTTGTTTTAGTAGAGATGGGGGGTCTCCCTATATTGCCCAGGCTGGTCTCAATTCTTGGGTTCAAGTGATACTTTCTGCTTCAGCCTCCAAAAGTGCTGTGATTATAGGTGTGAGCCACTGGGCCTGCCTTCTGAATATTTTTAAGCTTTAAAATATATATAAATAAGATATGGTAAATTCACTAAGTCTTGGCAAATTTGAATAGATAGGTTACTTGTTTGTTTTCTTAGGTGCCAAGACCACTGCTTCTGTTCGATAGTCAGAACTTGACAAAATATGGTGGCTCACACCTGTAATCCCAGCACTTTGAGAGGCCAAGTTGGGAGGATCATGAGGTCAGGAGTTTGAGACCAGCCTGGTCGACATAGTGAAACCCCATCTCTACTAAAAATACAAAAAATTTAGCCATGGTAAGGGGCGCCAGTAATCCCAGCTACTTGGGAGGCTGAGGCAGGAGAATCGCTTGAACCCAGAAGGTGGAGGTTGCAGTGAGCTGAGATCGCACCACTGCACTCCAGCCTGGGCAACAGTGAGAGATTCCATCTCAAAAAAAAAAAGACAAAGACTAAATATCTTCAATCGGGTGACATTCTACAATTGACAAAACATTGAGAAAAGATGATAAAAAACTATGAGTTTTAAACATATAATTCTAGATATGAAAATAAAGTAGTATGCCTAAAATATGAGAAACTAGTAGACTATTAGATAAATCACACACAAAAAAGAGAAACTCACCGAAGTTAGAGTCTCAGAATGTGAAGTCAAATCTTCCCCACCATGAGGTGGAATTAAGGCTCCAGGAGAAACACTGCAAACCATGTCTTCATTGGAATGTATGGGTGCACTACATTTTAGGAAATTAAACTCTTTTGTACCCGTATGTGCAATGCACAGATTATAAGAATAAGGCAAAGTCCCCTCACTGTAGTTGGGGGGAACTACAGGTCCAGACTTGACACAGAGACCAGGATGGAAGCAGTCCCAAGTAGTAGGGCTGAGAGAGCGTCGCAGGCGCAAGGCAATGGCCAGAATCACCGCAAGGAGGAAGAGCACTGAGATTAAGGCCAAGGCCACCACCAGGTAAAACTGTAGCTCAGCCTGGGGGTCAGAAAGTACAGGGCGATCGTACTCTCTGAGGTCTGGCAGTATCTCTTGCAAGTTGTCTGCGAAGACCAGATGCAGGGTGGCGGTGGCAGAGAGTGGCGGCTGTCCACCATCACGCACAGTGACCAGCAGGCGCTGGCGGGCTGCGTCCCTGTCGCCTAAGGCTCGAGCCATGCGCACCTCACCAGTGCGCAGCCCCAGGCTGAAGAGCCCGGGCTCGCTGGCCTGCAGCACGTGGTAGGATAGCCAGGCGTTGTGTCCTGAGTCGGCGTCCACCGCTACCACCTTAGTCACTAGGTAGCCGGGCTCTGCAGAGCGAGGCACCATGTCGAAGAGCGCGGAGCCGTCGGGACCCAGAGCTGGGTACAGCACGCGCGGTGCGTTGTCATTGCGGTCTCCCACCAACACGCGCAGGCTCACGTTGGCGCTGAGCGCGGGCGAGCCATGGTCGCGGGCCTGCAGCGTGAGCTCGAAGGCGCGCAGTTGCTCGTGATCAAAGGCGCGCTGCGCGAAGACCATCCCGCTCTGCGCGCTCACGGACACATATGACGACAGCGCCAGGGGTTCTAGGTCACTTGCCACGATAGAGTAGGAGATGTGGCCGTTGAGCCCCAAATCCGCGTCAGAGGCGCTCACTTGCGCAATGGAGGCTCCTGGCGGGTTGTTCTCGGCCACATGAACCACGTAGGACGTCTGGTCGAAAACTGGGGCGTTGTCGTTGATGTCAGTGACATACAAGGTGATGCTTCTACTGGAAGAAAGGGGCGGCTTGCCCCTGTCAATGGCTACGATGGTTACATTGTATTCTGGTGTCTGCTCTCGGTCCAGGGCTCCATCTGTCACCAGCTTGTAGTAGTTATTGGAAGAAGAATAAATCTTGAATGGAATGTCTGTTTCTATATTACACCTGACTTCTCCATTTCCTCCGAAATCCAGGTCCCGTGTTTTGAAGAGGGCAACAACCATTCCTGGAGGAGAATTCTCCAAAATCTGATCAGAGAGAGAAGTTATGATTATTTCTGGGTTGTTGTCGTTTTCATCCAGGATTTCTATGATTACTTTACACTGGGCAGAGAGACCACCTCCGTCCTTCGCTTCCACTTCCATGGTGTACCTTTCTACATCTTCAAAATCAAATGACTGGTTATTCTTAATCATACCTGTTTTCTCATCCAATAAGAACATATGTTTTGTGCTCTGGGCAGTGCTTCGGAAGTAGTAGTTTATCTCGGCATTGACCCCCTCATCCTGGTCAGTGGCTGTCACTTGCAACACAGGGGACCCAGGGGGCAGATTTTCACTAACACTAATTCTATATTCGTCTCTGCTGAAAACCGGGGGGTTATCATTGGTGTCCTTGACAGAAATTTGTATGTGAGCGGTGGCACTTCTTGGTGGGTCACCTCCGTCCAAGGCAGTCAATATCAAGCTATGAGATCTCTGTTCTTCCCGGTCTAGGAGTTTCTCCAGAGATAACTCTGGGTATTTGCCACCGTCGGAATTAACTCTAACCATTAATGAAAAATAAGGATTAGAGTTTATCTTATAATCTTTAATTGAGTTTATGTTTATATCGGGATCCGTGGCAGGGTCAAGCGATATTCGTGCACCAGCGGATGCAGATTCGAAAATTTCTAAATGTATTTCCTTTTTATCAAATTGAGGGGCGTGGTCATTAATATCCTCAATCACCACAATGATATGAAAAATATTTAAAGGATTTTCCACCACAGCTTCCAATTGCAACTCACATCTTCTTCTCTCTTTGCATATTTGCTCACGGTCTATTCGGTCCTTCACAAGTAAGTCCCCGCTCTCCGCGTCTACGCTGAAGTGCAGCTTCTCCGCGCTAACTCGCAGCTTGCGAGCCGACACATCCAGGACACTGAGCCCTAGATCCTTAGCGAGGTTCCCCACCACCGAGCCCTTGGCCAGCTCCTCCGGAATCGAGTAGCGGATCGGCTCACACAGCGCGGGGTAGAACAAAGGCAGCAGCAAGGGAAATAGTACCTGCCGCGGGCCGGCCCGGCGCCTCTGCGCGCAGCTCCCTCCCATCGTTCGCTTGGGTTCTCGCTGGGTCCCCGCTTTTCCAGCTCGAGAAAGTGCACTCTACCGCGCTAAAAGAGCATTCGGCCCAGGACAGGAGGAGTCCCGGGTCTCGGAGCTGGGAATCTGGTGTGCTGGGCGAGGTCTGCCCAGCTGGAAGCTTCTGTGTGTGTGCTCGTTTTCTTCTTTCTGTTGTTGGCTGCGCAGGGAATCCCTAGGCTGGAGGCTGAGGGATCCCCGGCGTCAGCGCTTGCTCTGCACTGGCCGACAGCGGCGCCCAGAGGCTCCGTGCGGGACAGCAGCCTGGTTTTTCATTTTGAATTCGGTCTCCAAAATGTATATATTCTTCGAAAATGCAGGTGTACGTTCCCCCCAAATTTTGCTCTCACCATAGTATTATAGTAGATATTTCTATGCTTTGTGTTGCAAATAAATGTATTATGCACAATTTCAAACTTATACAACAGTAGGGAGTATATGTAGTGAACCTTCACATAGCCACCCCACCTTCAACAATGATCACCACAAAGCCAATCTTTGTCAATATATACTGCGCTCCCCCATTATTTTTAAGTAATGCAAGATATAGAATGTCAATCAATGCTTCTTTTTAAGATGAGACATTAAGGTCAAGAATTTTATCTTTCAGCTTATGTTCTACAATCTGTTACCAATGCACAATAAGTTAAGTCCTACATAGTTCAAGAAAAAAAGAAGTAAACATTTTCCATACTCCGCTCAGTTATCTGTCTGGTGAGCCTTGTGTTCTGGTTTTAAGGGCAAGAGACATTTTTGTAGTATTGAGTAGTAACTACCTACCATGACATATAAGCCTTCATGGATATCTGTTATGTTTTCCTCAAAATAACACACATTTCAATATTTATAAATACTAAGTATGAAGGTTACTCCTCAGAACAGAAATTGTAATAATTTTCTTGTTATATGGTTAAAAATATGAGCCTGAAGGATGCTTTATTTTTTGCAACCCGCTTCAGGGGGAAGACGTGTTTGAAATAATTAAAATGTCTGTATGTCATAAAGGATTTCCAGACAGTTTAGCTTTTTTTTTCTTAAAAATAAAGCAACAGAAACCCAAGTAATTGCAAACAAATAAAATAATTCTTCATTTCCACAGAAATGCCAGCAGTCATCAATGTATCTATGGATCACATGTTTAGCATAGAATTTTGACTCAACTTCAAAGCTTATTTTCAAATGTCTTGTGAAATGTTATTTACTACTTGAAATGACACTATGTTTAAAATAACACTAAATAATACATTATTCTCTTCCTTACAGCTAAAAACAGTAAAAGAGTTTTAGAATCTTCCCAGCAGTTCCTGAGACTATTTTCTTAAATTATATCTGATATGCAAGTTCATTTCTAGC